AATTCAATTTATCCTTGAATGTTCAGCTCAGATGCTATTATCTCTTAGAAGCCATTCTCCCGATAGCACTAATCTCTCTATTCCCACTCCCAAAGAGCTCCGCTTGCTCCTTCAGCAACAGCATACCACACTGTTCCTTATCTTAGCTAGTTGATTCCATTGAGGTCTCCCTCATTTGTAAACTGAGAGTCTATCATTTTATCAATATGGACAATGAAGTCCAGTGCAATGCCTTATAAGACTTGCAAAGGCATTTTTTAATTCAATGAAAATACAAATATATCATATTTGTATGATATGAGAAAATCAGTACTGATTTTTGTGATTCATTAAAACAATTCAATTTATAAACTAATGAAATATAAGGTTACTATACTAAATTAGCAGCTTAATAATGTGTGAGAGGAAAAAGTGACAAAAGACAGAGTCCGAGGACATGGACAGAGAGCCAGATGGAAGCCTGGAGCTTCATCCAGAAGTCATTCTGGAAGCAAGCAATGCAAAGGTTCAGGAAAAGAGGAAGAAAGGTTTTCCTCCACCTTCATTCTCCAAATGGAAACCTACTTCTGGCAGCCATGGACAGAATAGCTGGGAAACAGTGCTGAAAAGAGGCTTAGCCCGCCTTTCCAAATCCTTAAAAAGATGAGCGATGACTGCCATGCACTGCTTGCCTTCCACTCCTGAAAGTAAGGTAGCCAAGCACTTGGGAACAGTCTCACTTCCCTCAACTAGATGTTCTAATTTTTTAGCTCTTGAGAAATAAAAATTCTGCATGCCTGCCCAGTCCACTGCCTCCATCCTAAGTAACAGGTAAATCCACTGTTCAACTTTAAAATATACACTCGGAGCAGCTGAGTGGCTCATCGGTTAAGAATTGGCTTGGGAGCGCGAGCTCTGAACAGCAAGGCTGCCGGTTCAGATCCCACATGGGTCAGTGACATTGCGCCCTCTACAGCTAAAATGGAGAACAACAGCTCGACCTGGAGCTGGCTGCCATGAGTCGCCAGCGATGGCATAGGCTGCAGTGAGCTGTTGCAAGCTACCATGAGTGGCCAGCAGCCAGCATGAGTGGCTGGCAGCCAGCGTGAGCTGCTGTGAGCCACCATCTAATGGCCGGTGACCAATCTGCCACATCAGGGAAGAGTGCAGTGATAATACCAACATGGGCCAGTGAAGCGACATCCTCCACAACTAGACTGAAGAACAAAAGGACAGCAACTTCTCTGTTCCCTTCCCCAATTGCCCAACGCTGTTCCCCCCAATTCCCTAATAAAATCTTTAAAATAAAATATATACTCAAAAAGCATGGTATATTTTATAATGAAGATTCTATCTTATATAGCCAACAATAAAAAAGGACAGGTAGTTTTACAAAATGGGGAAAGTAAAAACAAAGTGAACTCATGAATAATTATAATTATTATGTTGTAATTATTCATTTATGTCTTAACCATAAACTTTCATTCTTTGAGGGTAGAAACAGTGGCATATATCTTTGAATTTCCCATGTCTAACATAATACCTGGCATAAAGCACTTAATAAATGTTTGCTGAGTGAATAAACTAATAAGTGAACCAAAGAAAACCCACTATGTATTTATTTTTGTCTTAAATGCCATATATTTAACCAAGAATGCATGCTATAGTTTTGACATTAACTGAATATTCAAATTAATAAATATCAACATACCACAGATCAGGAGTTTGCAAAGTAGAACTAGGGTGGGGGGTGGGGAGACATGAACCTTGATATTGTATGTTAAGTCTTTATGCATGTATGTGCATTTTTGTAGGACAGGCTCTGTAGTTGTCATCACATTTTCATAAGGACATAGGACTGCAAAATGGTTAAAACTTCCAAAGGTACATTATCAAGTTTTAAAAATAAATAATATAATTAAATATTACACATAGTTTTACATGGTACTAGATGCTTGAATCTCTTTGATGAATCAGAAGGCTCCTTGATCTTATGGGATTGACCAATGAGTTATTAATTATTCAGTAATTAATAAATTCTTTTTCAACCATTTTAATGTGGGATACATGAGAGTTTATTATTCTTTACAAAATTAAAAAACAATAACTATATAAGCATTTAATATGGAATCAGTATTATTCATACAAAACAAAAATGTTCAAACAATTATGCTATGTAACATTAATGCATACATGGCAAGTCATTCTCGTAAGTGAAAAGAACATTTTTACACAGCCAAAAACCACACCCTAATTCTAGGGTTAGCTGGGGTGTTTTTAAAGACTAGGCAAAGAAAAACCAGAGGGCCCTATGTCCTGGGACCCTATCCCAAGAACGAAAAGTAAAACTGATATAGGCGCTCAGAAGTTCAATGCTGTGGATGCTACTCTAAGAAATGTGATTGTAACAATCAATAAGTGACTAAAATGGAAGATATCCTTTTATGAGATAATGGAACAGAAAGGTCTGCTTATAAAATCATAGCATCCCAAACTGCTCAAGTTTAATCACACTGCTTTTCTAAAACAGAGAGTTTTAATAGGAGGTAGGGTAGCGGAGACCGCTGAGGAGCACAGAGCATCCTGAGGTCAGGTAGGGAGCCCCAGGTGATGTGCCACATGACGTGGCACACAGAGGCTGAGACCTCCAGGGTGCGAAAATTTGGGGAAAGAACAAAAAGAGGGGAACAATAAAAAGTGATGATGTGAACATGCTATTTTCTCCTTTTCTATGGGCTCACATATTAGGAGAGCAAGCACCAACAGGGTTCTCTTTACACTTCCCACGGCTCAGAGTGAGCAGGCATTAGGATATGAATCAAGCATGAACCACATACTGTTAACAAATACGGAACTGTTTTACGGCCTGCACACATTGATCTCTTTAGCAAGAACAGACAATAAGAAAAGGGTAAATGTGTCTCAAGTTTAAAAAAAAATATATTAAGCTATTTCTTAAAGTCTGAGACAATGCTAAAATCAAACTTCATGTTTTCTCTAAGAAAATATGGTCAATGTTATCTGTGCAAGGCAAAAACTGCGTATCTAACTATCTAGTCAGCTCTCCAAAGCAAAAGTAAATGTGAGGCTTTCTGAGGAGATTAACTGCTGTAAAATATCAGTGGCCCATGTGGGGATCAAACCGGCAACCTTAGTGTTATGAGCACTGCGCTCTAACCAACTGAGCTAACCGGCTGCCCCATGACAGCTCTTTTTAAAACACTGATGACTCAATAATAATTTTAAATTATTAGCAAATTGTTTTCTTCTGACATTGTTATTAAATCATGCGTAGCTATTCCAAAATTTAGCAGGACAATCAAAGCCAGCCTGATAACACTTGCAAACGGAAGGGGCTCATAGTGATCACATCTTTATAGCAAATTCCCAGAACAGGCACATGTAAGATTCAGGGGGGAAAAAAATGTAATGATGAGAAGAAACCACTAAGGTGAAATGAAACTATGCCAAGTGTATGTTGAACGATATGATGGGGTAGGTAATGTAGACTGGTAAAAAGTAAAGTCAAATGAAAATATGTGAGAAACACATATTTAAACAAAAATTTCTTTGCTTCACCCTTAATGTTTAATGTTTCTCTTTCTGCCAAAACAGAAATCATCAGGGTTTTCAATAAAACATCCCTTTGTGGTCTTCAGACTGAGTTACCACTTATTTCAAACTTCTCATTTCTACATTAACAGTCTTAACATGGTCATTTTCACAAAGAGTCCTTACATTACACATTAACAAAATATCCTGACCACATGAAAATAAGATTTTTTTCCCCCAGACACCCCGCTAAAGGGTATATTTCAAACTCATTGTACAATAATACAATTTGTATACATATAATTTAATAAATAAAATCTTTTAAAAATAGGAACTCAGTAAGAACATCTCTGCGATCCCAGCATGAGCCACAGCTCCGGGCACCCAGTAGGTGAGGCAATGCTCCACCACCACCATTTCACATGTGTAACATCTCTATATATGGCTACATCTTACAACTGACAGTGAAGCAGTTTAGTTGGCAGCACTTTTCTACTCTTAATGACACATAAAATAATGATGCCTTGTACAAATGATGTTGTCTGAGATTAAATAACGTCATAAATGTAGAATTAAACCAAGGTAGGAGTGTGTTGCCTATAACTCCATTAACTCTCAGAAAACTGAAATTTGTGTTTTTTGATGCATTCTTTTATGTCTGTTTAAAAGTTCGCATTAGTATATGGAATTAATAGGTTATGCCTTTTTAATTATCTTTAAGGACAACTCAAGTACTACATCTTTTGACTGAGTTGTTTAATCATCTTACATTTAAAGTAATTATTGATAGGGAAGGACTTACTATCGTCATTTTGTTAATCTTTTTCCATCTGTCTTGTAGCTCTTTTGTTTCGTATCTTCTTCTCTTATGGTCTTCCTTTCTGTTTTTCCTGATTCCTTTCTCATTTCCTTTTGCGTATCTTTTACATGTGTTTTCTTTGTAGTTCCAAGGAGTTTACATGAAACTTCTTACTATTATAACAATCTATCTTAAGCTGATAAAAAATAAACTTCTACATACAAAAACTCCACACTTTTACTCACCCCTCCACATACACACTTTATGTTACTGATGTCACAATTTATATCTTTTAATATTGTGTATCCATTAACTTATGTTTACAGGTAATCATTTTTTAACTTCTTTGCCAGAATTAAAAGTGATTTACATATCACTGCTATAGTGTTTAAGTATTCTGTATTTGTCTATATCGTTATGTTTTCTAGCCTATTTTATACTTCCATATGCCGTCATGTTGCTGTTTAACGTCCTTTTCTTCATTTATTCTTTAGAATCTAAAGACCATAATTATTTTATAAATAAAAATAGCCGAACTATAGGCATGTGTGTTGTTTCGTAATTAAAAATCAGAGTTGAGCTTCTAAGACAGGGCACTGAAGAAGTTGTGTCCCTGAAACCAAGAGAGCAGCGCTAGTCCATTCAAGTCCCAGCCAACCTTAGTACCTACCAGTTCCTTTGCTTAGATATGGAGGCTTAAAGAATTTCACGACACCATAGACATTGACGACCATACCAGCCTTGAGCTCATTCAGGGGTGTGTATGCATAACGTGATTTTGGAACCTAAAGAAAGAGAAAACAGTGACTGTATCAATATGAAACATTTACATTTTAGAATCACGTTATGATCACATTTGTAAATTAGAAGAACCGTCTCACTGACTTTGTTTCCTTTTAAGGGTCTAAAAAGAAGCTGCAGCCCGAAAAAAGGAAATGCACAGCTTATAAAGGTTACTATATAAACCATTAGTACTAGTTTTTCATAAAAACAACTTTGATTCTAAATGGTGTAATTTGTACACAATTCTAAGAAATGGAGTTTGAGAGATTTTGGGCCTGCTCTCTAACCTTAACTAATATCACTTCAAAACTTGTGATACATATTATTTTTTTCCTATACTGCTATAAAGATTTTACTTAGACCAAAATGAAGCCAGGTTTTGATAATAAATGGCACAAAGACATTAAAAATGGTATTAAAGAGAAAAGAAAAAGTTTCTGAAATAGTTGTACGTAAGTTTGGAAGGAAAAGGGAAAGTGATTTACAAGGATACGTCTGCGTATTAGTCAAACAATCTGTAAAAGAGTTCAGACATCTGGCCCCATCACCCACCCACCCCACCTCCAATTAGAAATAGAAATTAGGGTACCTATTACACGAAAAATTAAAATTTTTAAATTCAAATCAAAATCAATTAATTGGCTCTTTCAAGAAGGCCAATCCCTCAGGTCAAAAACAAGAAGGGCAAGCCTTAGAAATCTCATCACACCTGGATATAAAAAAAAATGCTGTAGCGCATCAACGATGAAAGAAGAATAATGGTCAGCATATGGGACAGAAAACAGACGATACGTATGTGCTCAGCTGACAAAATAACTGGGCCCAATATGCTGTCTTAAGACGTTATCTCCCCAGTGTGGAGATAAGTGGGCAAGGGCAGCACAGCTCACTGACCATCACCATTACGGTCATCCAAGCAATGTACTTGTTAATTCAGGACCAGCAAACAACTTCATTATGATTACTTCCCACGTAAGTAGGCCAGTATATGTGTGCACAGCAGGTAAGTTATATTCTAGAGGTCAGAAGACCTGGGCTTTCAGAAGAACCATTTTTGCCACGTTTGGAGGCTCCTTTGTTTACTTCTGCCTTATTTGTAGGTTCACGATGTTTTAAATATTTGAAGCAGACCTATTTATAATAATTTTGAGAAATACTAATACCCAGGGATAATTCACATTTTTTTTTAAAGTACATCAATCCTTTTATTGGTTACAGTTTCCCTAAATCAGAAATCCAAATTATACTATTATTGTATGATTCAGAATTTAAAACCTGTATCTCAGTCATTGTCCATTGGAACTAAGTCCCCGGACTCTGTGTCCATTAGAAACTAAAGGTTTAAGACAACAGAACATAAACTTCACATTAAACTTTATCAATGTATTAGTTCTTCCCAGTTTCACTCAGCTATAGGTAGCTCGCCTATAAAGGTGGGAACCTTCCTATTGCTATGAGATAACAAAGTTTTATAAAATACTGAACAAAATGACAAAAAAGAGCAAAATGTGTGACAAATATAAACGTCTTTACTTAAAATTGCATAATTCAGGACATAACAATCTGTTTAACTACAAGCTGAAAAAAACAAAAGAAATTGCCTAAAATTTAAAAATAGTAAAAATCCCAGTGTCTTCACATAAATCTTTTTTTCCATTTTAGTTTTCTTATGTATATAGCTTATACAAATTATCAGCAGATATTCCAGACAACAGAATAACCAGATATTAATTACTAGGTAAATGTATAACTCGAATGTAACATCAGATATCCAAAAAATAAAGATTATGTTTTCCCATTGTATTGATACTATTTTAAAATCAGACTATAAAGTAGATCAAATACATACATGTATATATGTACATGTGTGTATCTGTACATGTGTACATATTCTAAATTAAAACAAATATCATCTTACCAAAGACATTGATTGTGTAGAAAAGCCTCTTACAGATTTAACATAAACCTGAAAAAAAAAGGGCATATTTATATACAAACAACTTCCAATGTGATTACAGACCTTTAATTGTAGTAAAACTACACATTTAACTGTATAATATTCACACTCACCAGAATTGCATAGTTATGGCTTACAAATTAAGTGTGACGTGCAAAATTGTGTAAGCTAAGCTTCAGTCTAATTCATTAATTTTTGTATCACAGGACCAGCCCTAGCCCATATAATGCCCTTGCACATGATAGAAAAAAACCAGGCAGATGCTGGCCTACAAGCACATGGCTTGACCCAACTCCACTTCTCTACCTGACAGCCTTCACCACGCAGGTGACCACATGTGTATGTGTTGGGGGAGCACCTTCGAAAAGAATAAAATGGGAGGAAATCAATTTTACCTAAAAAGGGGTACTTGATCAATTTAAAGTGAAATCAAATAGACCATCAAAAGAGGCTGACGGTATAATTACAAAAAATAAGATCAGGTCTATAGTGTCTGTGAAGTTTTAAAATTTTCCTCAATAAATATCTTTACGTGATCTTTCTTTTCTACCTGGAGTCATTCTGAACACAAAGACAAGAAAAGAATTTCTATTTTTTAAAATTAAAATATTAAATTAAAATAATTCAGTCCGACAAAATAGTCCATCTGCAGATTTAAAGAAAAACCATCTCTATTCCATCACCTCAGCCCGTTAAAACCATAATACGAATAGAGACTAAAAGTTACACACTTACATAAACAGTTGATTGCAAGTCCTCAAACGCTTTCAAAACTAAGCAATGTTCACCATCTCTGCTTGGAGATGAAGGAGATAACAAAACAATAAACCCGGCCACTGCAATGGTGTCCTACACAGAAAACAAATGGTTTTAGTTAGCAAAATGTTTGTAATTCTCAATGCCATATAAACCCTTACTTTTTATTATTTAAAAACAGTAATCCTGGGCTGGCAGAGTGGCGTGTTGGTTAAGAGCTGGCTTGGGACGCCAGCTCTGAGCAGCAGGGCCCCGGTTCGGATCCCAAATGAGGGCCAGTGACACTGCCCTCCACAGCTAAGATGGTGAACAACAGCTCAACCTGGAGCTGGGCTGCTGTGAGTAGCCGGCGACAGCATCGGTTGCAGTCCCTGCTGCAGTGGGCTGCCGTAAGCTACTGTGAGTGGCGGGCAGCCAGTGTGAGCAGCTGTCCAATGGCCGGCAGGCGAGTGCCTCACCCGGGAATAGCGCAATGATAATACCAATATGGGCTAGTGAAGTGACGTCCTCCACAACTAGACTGAAGAACAAAAGGACAGCAACTGTCTGTTCCCCTCCCCCGATTCCCCAATAAAATCTTTAAAAAACAAAAACAAAAAAACCCAGTAATCCTTTCTATAAAATGGGAAACTGGTTAGCCTAAACTTGTTTAATGCTTTCTAAATATAAGACTGAGCCAACCACCTCCTTTAAAAGGGTATCAATGTTATACCCAAAATAGATGAGTATAATACCCTCTTCGTGGACCAGAAAAACACTGACTAAATCATGACAATTTTATTTAATGGGACTTCAAAAATCAATGCTTAGCTCAATTTATGTCAGTAAGCTTGCATGAGTAAACACAATGAAGAGACAATATGATCCAATAATATCAAGCCTAGAATTTAAATGAAACAATCTCAGAGTTGAGAGACTACCTTGAGAGACATGTCATTAATACAAGAACTCTACATGACTACAAAGCTAATAAATGTGCCTATAAATCCAGGTTATGAGACATAAATAAGAAATTACCATTTATAAACTAATAAGAGGTTTTTTTTTCTACTTAGGTTTATAATAGTAATAAGAAGCCATTCTCTATTGATTCCTGCCCCTCTCATTCTTTAGTTAAATCTCCCTTATTTTCCAAATACTGGAATATACACACTCAATAAGTTCTATCTTGCTGCATTATAGCATTATACATACATATATATATATATATATATAAATATACAAATATATATAGATAGGTATATAGATATATATATTATCTTACTGCTCTAATTTTACCACTAAAATCTTAAAATACATAAAAATTCCTGGGCGTTCGGCAGCTTTCTTCAATAATCTCTACCAGATGGAAGCGTTCCTCATTTTTGCTTTGCACTTCCATGGGTCTGCAGTCAATCCCCAGGATCCTCTACTGGATCCACTAAGTGGCTGTGAGCACCCTGAAGACAGGGATCTGCTTCGTATCTACAGGGTTTGGCACAAAGCAGGCCCTCCGTGAACAGCCTGAGTCAATGGATGGGTCTTATCTTGCCTTTTCTAAAATCTCTGGCCCTATGCAGACAGTTGAGTTCAGCTGAGCGCTGCCCATTTCTGCATGTTTTTCTTCTTCTTCAGGTGAGACAGCCAACACAATCGTGTCTGTGCTGATAATGCTAAATAACCACAAGTCTTCATAGTTAAATGAGAAAAAATTTTCCTTTTCACAGAAGATTTTCTACGTTTATACCATGTTTTAGGCAACTTTAAAGGGGAATAAACAGTAAGATTACTTTCGGAAAAATATGCAATGCTTTCAATTTACCTCAGACCAATATATTCTGACTTAAATGAAAAATTAAGCTTTTAGTGAAAAATTTAGTTATTTAGTCAAACTAACACAGGAAATAGATGAGCCATGGGCTTATCTGTTCTAAATTATCTTACAAGCACAAACAATAACCTACCTCACGTTATTGTCTATTTTACTTAAATATGTCTTAAACATAAATATTATATGAAAAGAAATATATTAAATGCAAGTGTTTGGGGTACAGATGCACATTTTTTTTTCTATTATTCTGTATAATCAAAACTTTTTTAGAATGAGTATTTCTCTTATGATGGAGAAAACATTTTAAATAAAGGGAATAAATCACTAAAAGCTGGACATCAGCATTCCCATGAAATATTTTTTCAAAAGTCTATTCTACTTTAACATTAAATTTGTAAAAAGTTATGACTTACCCTCTACTATACATTCAACATGTAAATGACCAAAAATATTTTTAAGTAATGTGTTTATTTATATGCATGAACTTGTATTGGAATATACATACATAAATTGCACTGAAGGCCCTCCGTGATCTCATCCCAACCGAACTTGCCTGTTTTAGCGCCATGTACTTCCATTCAATACTACACATGTCAGATTCTCTTACATGCCTACTGCTTTTCTCTTTGCTTATTCTGAGCCCCCACAATAGCATTTTTCTCTTTTGCCCACATCTGATCCTACCTATCTTTTGAAGTCTGGGCTGTAAATGCTTCTTCCTTATGAGGTCTATCTTAGATGTTATTCCTTTCCCTGAAAAATAATTCTTCCTTCCTCTGAACTCTCCTATGCAGCTTTTTAATTTTTCACTTTGTGTATTACTTATAAACCTTTAATGTTTTTAATGCCTTTAAAACTCCGTAAGCTCCTCGGCACTAAGAACGCTGTATTATTGATCTGTATATCGCACACAAATGACGGGCAGGGCATGTGTTCAGTCACTGCTCAACAACTATCTGTTGAATAAATTAATTCATACTGGTCAGAATTGAAGCACAGATCCAAACAAAAGAGGGGAAAAGGAACGGCTCTTAGGATTCATTCCCATGAATTTACAAATCATAATGGCCTTTAAATTAACTCATACACAGAGGATAAGAAAGTATAGGCAGTATTAGCTTGTATAAACACTCATTAGAGTGATTTGAAAATTCGACTTAATGTGCATTGTTCCAAGTTCTAAGCTTCCGAGAAGAGCATATGGAAACTTAGAACTTACACATTCAGTGCCTAGAGCATATTCTGCTATATCAGAGTAAGTGTTTAACTCAATCCGCTAAAAGAGTATTAGAATACCAGCCTGAGAAGACCATGCTACTGAAAGTGATAAGGCTTTATTACTATCTGTTATAAAAGTGAAAGCACATTTGGTCTGAAATATTTGAACTAATGCAGGATATTCACATATCAGCAAATGGGTCATTTTCCTTTTGGTCTGTACTAACCTGTCACAGTGCCTTAGAAAGGGCAAGCCCTTGCCATTAAATAACTTCCTGGTTAGGCTAGCCAACAGGAATATTTCTATAATGAAGCAGTCTCAAAGAAAATTAACAAACTCAGTACAGATCTTTCTAACATAAATAAGTGTTCTTGAAAAATTAACAATTAAAAGGCAAAAACAAATCAGACAACTTATCTGCACATTAACAAAGTTTTTATATGCTAGTATGTCCTAATGAAAGACACAAAGTGGTAGAAATAAAAAGCAAATAGGTGAATAACAAAAATATAAACCATAAGACTAGTGTATTAATTTGCTAATTTTTAAGATAATATATTAAAAATTCTCAAGTCGTCACAGTTGAGCATGAAAAGGGCATAGAAAATATGAAACGATGGCTAATTCAAAAAGAAACACATTTATCTGACTTTAACAGGCATTAAGTAATTTTCACTATATGAACCTTGCAAATCTTATTATCATATTTTAAAAGACTGTTAAAGGGTGAAAGGGTACAGGAAGAAGCCAGCTATCTGATGTCACCGATAAGTGTAGTGACTGGCAGAAAATGTTGCCCTGGTGTAAAAATGTATTTCATAGTATTAGCACTTTTTGGATCATGTGACACCAAGGATATAACTGGAAGTAATATATGGAATATTAGCATAAAAACCAAAATCTTTAAATGGCCTAAAAACGTAATCTGATGCCCACCCATCTCGCCAGCCACGCTGGGATTCTGCCTTCTCACAGTTCTCTGGCATTCGGGATCCTCTCTCAGGGCCTTTGGACGTGCTGTTCCTCCTGACTGATCCTCTCTCCAGGACCCCCGTGCTCACTCGTTCTGCTACTCTTCTCATTCTGCTACTCAGTCTTCACGGTTACCTACTACATCTGGATACGACAATTAATGTCATAGCAGTTATTCAAACCACTCTTCTCCACTGAACACTTTCCATAACGGCAAGGTCCCTAACCGTCTTACTCGGTGAAGGTGTCTCTGACATCTAGCCTAGAAGACAGAAAACATTCAACAAGTGTCTAGACAACCAAATGAATAACCAAATACATGAATACGTATATACAGAGAGAATACCTTCATTAAATCTTAAATAAAATAAGCTGTGCAACTACTACAAAACTCACTTCTTATAATCTTAACATTTTACCAATTGAGAAGGACCTTAGGACCTTAGTATTAGCGATCATGTAACCAAGCACCTTTATTTTTCAGATAAGAAAATAAGGGCCAGAGAAGATAGATGAATGGCCTAAGGTCACATACAGCTACTTAGTCATAAAGACAAGACTACAGATTTCCTGCCTTCCAAGAAGGGCACTCATCTGCCTCCTTTTTCAGAATTAATCTTACAGAAATGGGACAAATGTATTAATAAATGTCTATAATGTTGACAGTTTTGTTAGATGTATTTTTTAAACTTTCAAGATACTTTGGAAGAGGCTTTCCTCATATTTAATATCCACACAGCAAATGTTAAAACCTACTTTAAATGAAAGCTAAAACTGAAAAAAAAAGCCTCATATGAAAGACGGTTCAATGAGAACATGCATATTCCAGCAAAATGTATCTTTAGTCCAGCAAAGCAAAAATTCAAATCTTGTTAATATTCGTTTTTTAATGTTTTAGGATTTTTGTTGTGTTCCAAAACAGAGTTAACCTTAAGGAAACAAGCAAATGACACACGAAGACATAGGACTCAACACAGAAAATTCATTCTTTTATGCAAAAAGTTTTACCTTTGATTTGCAACAATTTATAACCATAATACTATAAACTCTAAAGTAAATAGCCGACTCAGACCTCCCAGATGATAAGCATCT